AATTATCGGTTTCCAGGAATGCAACCTACAAGATATGCTCTTTTTGCTAGAACAGACTGGCAAAGCACAGGCGCTGGTCTTAGAAGTGATTCTCTCAGCTGCCCAGCTGGTCTAAAGTGCCGTGCGGCACATCTACCGATCTTCGACAGACATCCCCACCAATGTAAGGTACAAGTTGGTGACCCACCTTTTCCTTCAGCCACTGTACTAACTTGGGTGAACAGTAGTTGGTGGACCCACTCCGCTGTAACCACCCCACTTCAGTCTGTCCTCCAGAGTCCAAACCCACCGCCCAGTTGGCCGCAATGGGCGCCTCGGCAAAAGGGACAAGCATCAGATACGCATCAGTACGGATGGGCCGTTTCTGGAACTGCATTTGTATTGATGGTGATTTCTGGTGTATGTATGTTTCAGGTCTGACCAATCAATGTCCACAGAAAGTCTGTAGATGTTGCGAAAGTGCATTGTGTTTGTATCGTTGTGAAGATAGGCATGGGGACACCAAAAACCTTGTAGCTATTTAGCAGCTGAATTCTTCCATGTCCTTTGGGATGTTTCTTCACGCGTGCTAAGAATCAAAGCGCTGCAAGAACTGAGTCAAGCAACCCAAAGCTGCAAGAACTGAGCACGAGGAGCACTTGGAAATCCGCCGAAAATGACGATTCCGCATGCTGTCAAGTAATACTAATACTCAAGGCATCCATAAGAGGTTTTGGACATCGCCACTCTACTAGGAGCTCCTGGTCTTACTACTAGGAGCAAGGACGCTAGTAGGAGCAAGGGCATCGCCACCAATTTGCAACACTTGTCTACCCTTTGGCCGTGGCCAAGGGCACGAACCCCTTGGGTGGCACTGCTGTGCTGATCTCCGGTGGCGGTGGCGGCATCACGTCATCTCCCCAGGTGATTGCTGTTTCTGACACATTGAGAGAGTGAGAGTGGTTGGAATCTCAAGGAAAACCCTAGGTTTTTCCCGCCTCGTTCTTCTTCATGTCTTGCGAAGTGTTCTAAAACTCCGATTTGGATCTCCATTTACCTTATTGGACAAAACTTTCACAGGTGTTCGTTTCAGCTGGGACTCAGTGCCTTGATCCTTCAGTCTCAAAAGGGGCAACATGTGGCAGTGCATGTGACTTTGATACTATCTGGTTCTACAAGTTCTTCATGCAATCTACAAGCCCATATGCAATATTGCATAATTAGACTAGGTCTTTGCATAGAACTTGGCAGTGTCTACCAATTGATCTTGGGGATCTTCAAATGGTCTTCAACGGTGAGCCCACCAGGTCGGAAGAGCTGCCCTCGGAGCAGGGATGGGATGACCAGTGGGAGGGCCAAGGGGGGCGAACAGGGTGCGTTCAAAGATATGAAAAGCCCACTGTCCGCAGTCTGAGAGGTTTTGTCAGATCATGTCAGATCCATCTCAAGGTATGGTTTCATGAAGCTGGAGCTCCATAAGGATCAAATTCTCGTCCGAATGGTCCGGGACTTGGAAGTTCTTCATAGAAACAACAAGTTCTTCATCGACGTGGAGATGCGATTGATCCTGCTTGGAGCACTATGACATTTGAATCGTTTGAGCATTTTGCATTGGGAGACTCTGTCGGACAGAGCAGTGATAGTGTTCATCACCACCTCGTGGGCCACTTACTGAGGTGTCTCATGGCAACCAGCTTAGAAGAGAGGAACGAGTGTATCCGTCCTGTCCTTGGAGGGTGCTGGTACAGATGGTATGTGTACGACAGATTCTTTAAGAAATTCTTAGAGGTTCCACCAGCAAATCAAATCAAGTGTTTGTTTGGTCGTAGGAACTTCTGAAATAGTCTGCATCACTTCAAGATTGGAATGAAAGACTGCGGTTCAATGTTGTACAGCAAGGAAAAGATGTGTTGCTCAATGGCAACCCTGGTCATTGCTTGAGGATACTGCCAACCTACAAAGTGCCCCATATGGACAAGAAACAGTTTTTGCCTCAGCATGTCGCAGGATCATGGCTTGCCAGTTCACGAGAAATTTCAAGGCAGCACAATTTTGGTGGTATCGAAATAGGACCCCCAAAGACTCCTTGGGAAAAGCAAAGATAGACTACAGCCCATTGGTTGGGGTCTCTCCCGTAATCGAAAACGAACACATGTGTTTGTGCATGTGAGGCTTAGTCTTAGTCAAAGGAGGCTTTGTTGGAAATGCCTCAGGGAACGTCTCCGGTTCTTGAATTGATATCCATGTGTCAAACCCTGGTGCAAATATATATATATATATAGAGAGAGAGAGATATAGATAGATAGATAGATAGATAGATCAAATTATATAGTTAGTTTCGGTTGGCTATCTCAAAGAGCAACACATGCCAATTATATTCTGTCCAATTGTCGATGCAAAGAGGAACCTGTCAGACAGCTGTTCTGGACGCCAACCGGCCTCAGTTGTTTGGTTTTCTAGAAGGGATGTTGTGAGTCGTGATGTTTTTCTTCGCCCAGGGTCTTCATGCCTGCCATCGATTCCTCAAAGGCGAGGCCGCTCGGAAGCTCTTTGGGGATCAGTGGATCAGCAATACCACCATGGTTTGTTGGGGCTCATGGTAGTCCAGAGTCCAGCACCTCAGAGCTTTGAAGCAAGAAGTCAAAGAAGTACTGTGTACAATTGTAGGACAAGTAGAAGAGCAATGAACCCCAAGAGCAACTTGCTCCACGTGGTTTGCGAAGACAGAAGTGGATTGCTACATCGTCTAAGGTTCTTGGATGCAAGTGTGTTTCTGTAGCCGGTTGGCGTAGCATGCCCCTGGTACTGGTACTGTTCATGGTGCATGTTTTTGAAAATGAATCAAACGGCAGGTGTCAATTCTTGTATATATAATTTGTTCGAAGGATAGGATGGCTAAGTAATTTACGACGAGTGAAGATTTGCATAGATTGCTAGCCAGCTTTGGAAGAAAGCTTCAAGTTGCAGTTGGGATTTAGCTCCGTGGGGTGTTCAAAGATTTTCCTACACCCCATAAAGAATTTGCGAAGAAGGAAAATCCGAGAGTTCCACACTTACGAATCATTGGACGCCAAGAATTCCCATTGGCGTTCAGCAATTGCTGTAGTCGTCATGTTGGGCGCCCTTTTCAACTTTGCTTTGGGTGCTTGCTCCACTTTTTCCTTTTGGGGGCCAGATGGAGTTTGCAATACAAGCCAGAGTTCATCCCAATGTCGCACAGAAGACGTGATTCTACAGCTCTTGTAGCTAGCAGCTAGCACCTTTGTTTGTCGCATGGGACTTGAACATTTTTGAATGGCAAATGTTTTATGCAACATTATGCAACTACTGAAGCCCACGGAGCCTTGTCGCTCCTTACATGCACAGCGTAGTGGCTCTATTCTGGCATCGTCACGTGCAGTTAAAACCTTGCGGAAGCTGCACGAGACGGCTGACAGGCGGAGCAGGCTGAGCAGCCGGTTGCACCAAACCCAAAGCACGAGCGAATCAAGGCGGACAGTCCACCGTTGCTTTTGAGATTTTTTGAGCCCACGGGACTGAACATGGCAGACAAATCCGAACAGATTTGTCGAGTTGACCCATTCTGTTCCATTTCAACATGCCCAACTTCAGTGGAGTTGAACTCACATGCGTCCAAAGACAATCTCAGCCTGAAGAGGAAGCCACGAAGACGGAGAAGGTTGACAGTTTGTTGGCCCAGTTGGAAGAACAGCGAAAAGCCATGATGGCCGTGTGGGGCCTCAAGAATGCCGAACTCGCTGATTGCGGGGCTTCAGTCTCAGGTGCAAGGCGTGCCTTGCGTGCCATGCGTGGTTTTCTTTTTTTACATCGGGCGATGTGGTGATTCCAAACACAAGTCAACCACTAGGAATTGAATGATAAAAGACAGCACAAAAGAAGAAATGTTCACACAAACTCCCGGGAGAAGTTGAGGAATTCGATCGAAGAACTCCCCACTCTTTTGGACCCGAGGCCGGCCGTCGTTTGGAAGAGCCCAGGCGGTCGTGTTGCGCTGCCTGCGTGCGAAAACAAGAGACATGTTACAGCATAAGCACCATTGTAGCAGTGTACTGACTGTAGACCATTGGCTGGTGTTGGCGGACAAACGTAACATGGAGAAACAAAGGTGTTTTTGTACAGTAAGTAAGTCGTGGGAGGTTCAATGAGTAGCTAAAGCTGCTCCAAACAGCATGTATTTGTATGTATAAACATGAAGACCAACATACACACACTGGCACACATTCACTCAAGCACACATCCGGTACGCCAGACAGAGATGTATCAAAAATGTGCTTCAGAACTTGCATGCCGCTTTCTGCCATCGTTTCAATGTGGAGTTGCACCACTGACATTCACCATTTTTCCCGCTAGGCATAAGGGCTCTGAGTGGGTGTGAAAGGCTTGACTATGCGCACCTGTCGCATTTCAATTCAGTGGGGGGCGCCTCATGCTTCCCATTCTTTTGCACGGCATTAGTCTAGAATAGAAGGCGTGCACTCACCCCTCACCCCTGACAAAATTGTGAGTCGGCACAGCACATCAAATTCAGTTGGGGCAAGAAGTGATGTCCAGCTAATTCCATCAATACTCAATCAAAGTTACCTCGTCGGCGCACAATCGATGAAGTAGAGGGGTGCTGCCACCAGCCTACTTTGCTTGCAAAACTGCGAGGAAGTGGGTCCCCAGACACTGCGTGGATGCATAACCATGTGCGTCCCCAGAAAACGTCCAGGGAAATTGTCCATACAGAGAGGTGCCTGAGCTTGGAGACAGTTCGTTCCTGTTTCCAGAGAGTTTACCTTTCTACGAGAGGTGTAGTTTGGTGTTAGATGTTGTCATAGTGTGCTTCTGGCAACTTGCCTCAGTGAAGGTGCCAAGCGCTTTGTGCAGCTGGATTTTCGCGCCTGAGGACAGCTGTAAATGCCTTTGTGGAAAAGAACTCTACCGCATGCTCAATGCTTTTGAGAAAAAACATGACAGGAGTCTGCATTTTTGCATGTTGCCAAGACTCAGATGATGTTGGGGGGTGCTTCTTGCGAGTAGCAGGTGCTAAGTTTAAGTCGCTCAACGTATAGGCCACTAAACCCTTCGTCAGATGAGTTTGCGGTTCTGGTGCTGGAATTCGGGCTGAAGTGGCCTTCGCTGCCAAGCTCCCATTTGTGAGGTGTTTGAATCATTTCGTCGCATGTTCATAGACTGGGGGAAGCATGCGGCAGAAAATTATAGAGTGATGCTGTTGGAGGAAATGCATGCAAATGCCAACTGTTGCCAACTGTGCACAATTTTTCCGAGAATGGCAGCATTTGGGTCGAACCTTGTGGACCATCGCGGCGCTATGGCGGAGGCTCTGCCAAATCCGAAGCCAACAGCGCTGTCGGGGCCAGAACTGCTGAAGGCACCCTTGTGTTGGGCACCCCGCAGCACTGAAGTTCCCAGAGACGATCATCGGTGGAAAACGAGCAACTAAAGGAAGTCAAGTAGAGACTGCAGTTGTGACTCCTTATAGATGTTGCTCAATGCCTTTGTCCTGTTGTGGTGTATCCATGAGCTGCTGAGATTTGTGTTGGTTAGCTATGCAAAACGGTTTGTCAGGATGCTTCGTGGTTTGATGCCAATTGGCCGCTCATCAGCACGTTGCTTTGCCCGGTGGCTTTCGTCCTTCCCTTCGTGCTTTGCCAATTGCCTGGCCGAGCTGCCATTCGCCACCCCTATGTGCTGGGATGGCTGACAATTGCATTTTACCTATGTCACCAGACCGAAGAGCATGGCTACGACCTGCGTGGCTGGCGGTATGCATTTGTACCTAGAAACCACACTAGCTTATTTATGTTTATTTGTTCTTGTACTATGTAACGCAGGTCAGGTCGTTTTTTGGCCAAGTTGGCAGCTTTTCTCAAACGATCATTGAAGTCGTCCCACAAAGATCCTTGTGCATATCAGGTACCTGATTTCAACCATGGCACAGGTGCCTGGTTGTTCAAGGACGTACTTTGTTGTTTGCTATCTCTTGGGTGATTGAATAACATGGGACGTTTAAAGAACACCATAGCGCCAAGAACAGCTCGCAGATCTCGCAGGAGTGCGAGAAGATCGGTCACAGGACTTGCCCAGCGGATCCACGAATGGCAACATACATCAACGTGGTCACGGTGTGGGCGGCTGGACAGAAGCCTCGAAGAGTTGAATATGACGTCGATGTGTTCATCGTTCCGCTGTTGTATACTCTGGACCAAAGATACAAAAAAGACGCCAACTACAATGATCTACAATGTAATCAACAGCTTCCTGTACTCCAGCAGGCTGCAAAGTCACAGCCTCGCCATTTGCAGGTTCCAGGTTTGTCATGACCCGCTGAGAACATCCAACAGTATATAAGAGAATTTACCCGCGGAACTCACCCACCATCTGATGTTTTGTTAGCTTGTTTTGTTTTGCTTGGTCATCGCTACTCGTAGTAGGTTGGAGGCCATCGCTACTACGGTAGAGGCCATCGCTAGTAGGTTGGAGGCCATCGCTCATAGGGTGCAGACCATCACTTGTTTGTTTGTTCATTCGTTTGTTTCGACCCACCCCCTGCGACAAGCCCCTGACCCAGTCCAAACCTGCCGTCACCAACGACAGACATCGGGGCGTTTCGTCAGCCCAGCGCAACTCGAGTGTAGCACGTCGACAGAGACGGTGATTGGTCTGAGATCCTGACAGAAACGGTCGCTTACAGCTGCACCCGAGGGCGACGGAAGCAGAACGTGGTTGAGCATAACAATGGTATATAGAATGTGCACGTTTGGGTAAAGACACCCACAAACACCCAGGTGGTGCTCAAGTTTGGAAAAAGAAAAGCTCTTACAAACAAAACCTTGCCATCCTTTTCTGGCTGTCAGGGTGGCTTTACATTTTGCATGCTGTGTGCACACCACCTTGGCGGGCGGTATGCCTATGCGGGATTTTGCAGCTGGTATGATTGGTGTTTTGCATTCCTTTTCGTTTATCCACATGAGTCCTAAATAGTCCTAATACATACTGGTTGGTTTGGTCTAACTTGAATGTAGCTGCTTGTGTAGCTGTAGCCTTTGCAGAATCAAGGCAACTGGGGCATGAGTGTGACTTGCTCGCAAGGAGCACGTTTTCCTCGTGATCGTTGTTATTGTTATATAAGTTCTCAAACGACCGACGATTTCTGGAATGTGACCTACTAGAGGGCTTGAAAGAAGATCAAGGCTCACCAAGGGAGTTGTATCAATGTTGGAGGTCTAGCCACTGAGATGATTCTTTCTATAGATCCATGTTTCTCATGGGCTTGCCTGATGTTCCTCGAAAGCCAACAAGCCATCAGTAGTTAGTTAGTCAAGGTGATAAATGCATTGACTGGTCATTTGATTCCATGGATGCTGGTGGGCTACAACCCCGGCGCTTTCCAGAGCATTTTCATGTGTCTCTTCGGGATCTACGCTCTTTCCCGTCGCTTGCATTTAAGTTATCATGTTTCACCCCAAAATGTCAATGTGTTTTGCTGTTGTTCTTGGCCTTCTGTAGAGGTGTCGGCAAGTTCTTCGCGTGGACTTGCATTGTTCACGGCCTGGCCTTCCATGGAGCTACCTAGATGGTCAGTCCCGCTTTCTATTTTGCACTGCGAAGTTGTGAAGTCAGTCCCGCTACCTTCCTCCTGTTATGCCACAACATCCGCTGAACCATTGCAGCCACTTCTGGGCTTCTTGGGTGGGTGTTGTTTTGCAAAAGCCATTGTTGCTAGACTCCGCACGGCGAAGCAACTAGCAGGGTTTGCGGCAGATTTGCTTGGGCATATGCACGAATTTAGTGCTCAAAGCCCACTGGCCCGTGGAGACCTACGCTGTCCTATGCTTCATCTTCTCCACGGCAGTTCCTGCCAACGCACATCAGCAAATGTTGGACAATTTGATGTCCATCACCAACTGAAACTAACTTCCAATGTCGTGCTGTGTCCCCCTGTTTTTATTGGCAGGTGTCTTTATGAGATGTTGATTCCATGCTTGTGATTTGTTGAGGTTCCCCTTGCCGTGGCAAAGCTGTTTGCTCCAGATGCTCCAAAAGAGTCGCTCGACGAAAGATTTCATTTTGCTGTTTGCCTTTATCATTTTGCCTATCGTGGATGTTTCATTCAAAAACCTTATGCAAGACCTTTGCAAACGATTTCAATTCTTTGTAAGGTCCTGAATTGCTGAGAATTCAAACAAGTTAAGGATTTGAACATATGTGAATATAATATATATATATACAATATGTAATATAATATATATATATATTGTCAAAACGAGAATGTGATGCGTGTCGCATGTGCAATCTTGTACTGGTCCTCTCGCGACACTTTTGTTCACTCAAGCTGGGAGGGCGGGAGGTCTATGCTCGAGCCATTTCGTGCTTTGCAGGGACAAGCCTTTTGGACAGGAAGATCCAAATAGATCGCAGGGCGATTGGAGAAAACCCGGAGTGGCTGCGTGGTGGAAGTGCAGGGCACTTGGTAAGGAACAGGGAATTCCTTTTGACATTGGTTGAATTCACTACATTGCTTGTTGTTGGAGTGAGCCCATTTTCACCGGATCGATCTCGGCTGCCAATTTCGAATCGGTGTAGATTCGAAATTGGTAGCGGAGCTACCTGGGTGATCTCACAGGGAGGTTGTGGACATATACACTGTTGTTGGTAGGGTCGACAGTTGTGACCAATGCCGGAGACATCTAGCACAGCAACATTGGACCCCAGTTCATCAGCCTCAGGGAATCAGCTTGCATCATTGATTCCGACGTTCGATCCATCTGTTGACAGCGTGGAGCAATGGGCCCAGAAAATTGAGTTGTTGACTCAGGTATGGCCGGAAAGTCGGTTGGAGAATTGGCAACCCGGATCATCCTGAACTGCAAAGGTTCAGCCTTCGCAAAGCTGCAGCTCAAGCGCAAAGAGCTCCTAGCAAGCAGGTACGGTTGAGAGTATCGCCAAGATCGTGGAAACTGTAGGAGGGCAGTTCGGTCAGGTGAGTCTAGACCAAAAGTTCGACATCGTGGAGGGCACTCTTTCGATGTGCTCAGAAGAGCGATGAAAGCGCTGACTCACACATTGCTCGGTCCAAAGTGGTCTGGACCGAATTGTTGATGAAGAAGGTCAACATGGCAGAGGTGCAAGCCTACATCATCCATCGAGGTAGCAAGCTCTCGATGGAAGACAAGAAACGAGTGTTGGTTGAGTCAGGTGCTGAGATCTCGAGCGGAGAGCTTGACATGAAGAAAGTGTCAGCCGCCATCCGTATGTTGGGATCGAGTTTCTTTCAAGAATATACTTCCGGCAAGAAGGACAAGGGAATGAAGACTTATGACCACCTCGCTTTTGGGGTGGAGGAAGCCGAAGAGTATCCCGACGAGACCATGTGGGAGAATGATGAAGGTTTTGATGAAGAGTCAGTTGAGGCCTTTGCTGCCGATGATGACAAAGAGAGTTGGCGACCTTCTACCGGACTACCAGGACGCTAGACGTCGCCTCCTGGACAAGTCACGTTCGAGAGGATTCTGGCCAAGCAAGACCTTCTAAGGGCAAGAAAGGCAAAGGAAAAGGGGTGAAAGGAAAGTCGAACGACCTTGCTCAGCGGATTGCCAACTCCGCCTGCCGTTTGTGTGGTCAAATGGGCCACTGGAAGGCCGAGTATCCCTCCAAGAAGACCGGAAGTGGCTCCGATTCCGCTCAGATTCCGACGTCGTTCGTGATCGACCTGGAGTCCAGCCTCAGACATTCCAGAAGTCATCCCTGAAGATCTTAAGCTCGTAGAAGAAGAACAGTGTTTTGCTCTTTTTGAATCACCATTTCATCAGTTTAGAAACACCCTCAAGGAAAAGCTTCGTTGGTAGTTGATTTGGGAGATTCCCAAACTGTGATAGGCAGCCAGCAAGTTCCAGAGTTGTCATTCGTCAACAGGTAAAGAAGACATCATGCCATCTAACGTTGAGGTTCGGCAATCAACAGATGCTGACCAGCAGAGTGGCCCTAATCCTCCCGGCGCACAGGACTTGGTTTAGGATTGCGATTGCCCCAGGACAACACCATTTTTTGGGCCCAACGCTTTTCTCAAAACCATCCAAGCCGTCGTCGATGCCGAAGCCAGCACATTGTGGAGCAAGAAGCTTGATAGATATTTGGAAACCAGTTTCAAACCTCATGTTGTTGGACATTAATCAACTATGGCCTCAGGACATTCTCGCTGTCCAAGACACCGTGCAGGTACAGGGATCAACAGAGATCCTATCGCTCCGCGAGGGAAACAGAACAATGTTTCCAGAACCAGGAGTTGCCCATGTCCCCAAACATTCAGACCAACCGACTGGATAGCAACCGGAAACCGTCAGAGGTGTGAAACTTAGTATCTCCGAAGTCTGCAGACCGACATCACCAGTGAAGCAATCGAGCTCTCAAGCACTGATTCCACCGCCTAGTCTGACTGGTAGCCATCATGTCCAGTCTCAGCAAGAAGCTTGCCGAGTTCCAAGAGGAGATCAAAAGGAGCGTGTGAAGGAGGCGCTCGACCTCCTCGAATCCATCCCGATCAGCCGACTCAAAGCCATCATGACCATCGCTTTCGGGAAGGCAAAGGTGGGGCAGACACTCGAGACGGCCTTCCAAGACCAGAGCTGGGCGAAGTGGTTCGTCAGCACCTACGAGAAGTCCGGGCGCCGGCCCCTGGGCCAGCCCGTGCGTCGCCCGGAGGGCGTCCTCCTTCGGTTCACTGAAGGTTAAAGGAGGGACGCCGCCCGTGTTTTACAGTGTTTCGTGTGTGCGAGGTACAAAGCACGTGGAAAATGCGACGCGGCGAAGATGGAGAAATGCAAAAACACTGTGTTTTTTCAAGGGTAGTGTCAGTAATGCGCGCCGCGCGGACAGGCATAATCAACATTTCGTGGGTGTCGGGCACGCGCCAACAGCAAAGGCGGAAAGTGTGCTCCAAGATGATCTGACAGAGGCCCTCAAGATGACCCAACATAGGTCCCAGATATGGCACACATAGCCGCAAGATGACCCTACATAGGTCCCAGATATGGGAAACATAGCCCCTAGATGGGTCAAGATAGCCTCAAGACGTGGCAACATAGGCCCCACACAGTCTCAGAGAGAGAGAGAGAGACAGAAAGGCAGACAGACAGACAGACAGACAGAAAGAAAGAAAGAAAGAAAGAAACAAAGAAAGAAAGATACGTAGACCCGGGCGGTCAGCCCCCTTCCACATTGAAGGATGTCGCCGGGATGCCCGACGTCTCGCCTCATATCTTTTGCTTCTATCCCCTCTATACCGTCCTACTTTTGCCCTGCGTTGGGCCGGCGCCCGGCTGTCAGGCGTCAGCCTCAAAATCAGAAGCTGGAACACCGCCAGTTCTTGCGGTACGTGGCTCTGCGAGTGGAAGAAAGCCAAGCATCACAGGTGAAATCGACTTCAACGACATCAACACCGTACCTGCACCATTCTGCCGCACAGCAGTGAAAGATCCCACGGAGAATGGGGCGAATCGAACATGCCCTGATGTCCATCATCCACCATCTCGAGCATTAAAAACCCAGCCCAAGAGCCGCAGAACCCGTGGACCATTCACCATGGTCAAAGAGGAGCGCAACTGAATCAGTCTATGATATCAAATGAGCGCGTATGCAGTCTGGGTGAGGTCACTAACTTAATCGGAACAGCTAGTGTGGATTTTGACTTTGATGAAATTCATCCACAGGAATACAACCGAATCTGCCAGCACTATCTTCGAATGTTCCGAGAGGAATATGCACAAGTTGCTAAAGTGATCAAACCAAAGCCCAAGAAACACTTTCTGTTCGAAGTAATGTGTTCAAAGGAGAGTGAACTCACCCGCCAGGGAATGCAACAGGGCCTCCTGGTCAAGCAATTCAGCCTTAGTGAAGGTGACTTTAGCACAAAAGCTGGTCGAAGAAATTCGTTCTGCCATTTGGCCAGTGATCGACCAAAAAACATTTGGATCACCCCGACTTGCGGACCTTGGTGCCAGTGGTCAAGTTATGAGCAAGAGCGCTGAACTTCGTGAGACTATCATGCAAAATCGAAAGAAGAACTTGTGGCAAATCAGCTTGTCTCGATTTCTGTGTGGCCATCAAATTTTCCGTGAGCAAAACTTCCACTGCGAACAACCACAAGGTTCCCAAATGTTGAAGTTGCCATGTTTCCAGCCGATAATCAGGGTTACGAAGTCAAGAACTTTTGACGTGCGCCGAGTGGGCAGCCTGCGAGAACCTCTGTCTCAATTGCCAATTCGGATGCAGCTGGTTGTGCGCACGACCTCCACGAATCTGCAGCAGAATCTCAATGATCGGAGATGCACGGAACCCCATGCTCATTTTCAAATAGCTGGATCCACGAATTTCCAAACTGTATCCTAGGAAGTTCGCTCGGCAGATCATCCAATGTCTTCGACGAGAGCGGGTCCGTCCCACGCATACCAATGCAGTCGATGCGGAGACCAAGACACATCCCACCAAGCGTCGTCGACTCGATCAGAAAAGTAATCCCACCCAGATTCAACTCCCCACTTTGGGAAGATATCACGAAGGCAGTTGATGAAGAGGCCCCCAGAGCAGGTATCAAAGTAGTCACCCAAGGATATTTCGCGCAGGCCATTCAGAGAAAGTGTTCCCAACAAAAGGTCCAAGAATAGTTCTTTGCAGAGGGATGGATAGGATGGTAGGTCCGAATCTCCGATTGTCTCCAAGGTGATGCCCCACTTCGGAAATTTGTAGGAATCTGAAGGAGATTCGAGGAAGTCGTGGCCGAAGAGCAATGGGAGCCCTGGGAAAAGCTCACCGCTCGGCAAATGCGTCGTCCATGCACACCATCTCGGTGCGGACTCACCATTTTTGCAAGAACGCTCTTGGAACATCAAACCAAAAAAGGAAAGAAGGAAATCCAGAGTCCGATCAATCCAACAAGATGCCAAAGCGAGATGATGCAGCAGCTCGTCCCGAGTCAGAGCCAGTGTCTGCGCCTGCCCTCTCGAGAGGGGATCATGAAATGGACAATGCTGAGAGGTCAACTCCACCAGCGGAGGGCCCAGGAGGAAGCCGTGACATGTCATCCCCTGAATTTCGACGCGTTGTAGACCTTGTAGCCGACAAGCATGGTCTTCGACTCCTAGCCGTAAAACCAGAAGAACACAGTTGGGTATGAAAGATACATCGAAATATGAGCCACCCGAATGCCGCCAAGTTCAAACTATTCTGCCAACAACTAGGATGTCCTGGAGAAATTATCGACGCACTGGAAGATTTACGACCGAAACAAAAGGACCAGACCTTGCAAAACCCAGTGCCATCCATGTCAGTCTGGACTTCGGTGATGTGGTAGGAATGGATGGTATCATATGGACCAACAAGGCCGGACGTCAGTTCTTCTTCTATCATATTGTAGATCAGGGGACAACCTTCCATACAGCAATCCACACTAAGAGCCATTCCACAAAGGATGCCATTGAAGCTCTTACCAAGGGATGGATAAGCTGGGCAGGTCCACGTAGTGGACGCAGGAATTGAATTTGGCGCGGCGTCTTTCCACCAATATCTCCAAGAGCACGACGTTCGATTTCGTATGATGGCCCCGGAAGCACACTGGCGAAACGCTAGAGTAGAACGCCATGGACAAAGGATATCCTCTAGAGTTGCTAGTGTTTGGGAAACTTAGCAAGAGCCCAGCCTCAATTGCTAGTGACTTAGTGAGTTCTCCAGTGCCGCTCACGACGCAGCCTTGCAAGAAGGGATACAATTCCAATAAAGGCTAGCTGCCCGGGAGAGGGCCCGAAAAGCCTTTTGCGAAGTTGACAATTCGCAAGCCCTTCGAAGAGCTGCCCACCAGAGGTCACGGCCACAGCGAACTGTCTATCATCCGGAAGATTGGATCATGGCATGGAGAAAGGAAATGGCCCACCCACCCATCCCTTGTTCACTTTCTGAGCAGGAATGCACCCCCAAGACCTCGAAAGAGAAAAGGTGCATCTTGAGTTTTCATTCTTTCAGTGGAGCCAAACGTGAAACTGACTACTATATAGTTATAGATCTTCTTAATTCTTTGTGTATTGAAAGCCGGGGTCTTTGTTTGACTTGTTGCTGTTTCACCTTACGTTTCTGTAGTTCTTCTGTAGCTCCTTTGTTTCTTCTTAGCGGCGCTGGCCGATCCCTCCTGCGTGCTCCCGCAAAAAGGATCACTCGCTCTCCCACTTTCTCATTCACACACTCATTCTCGCTCCCTCACTCACTCGCCCAATCACTCACTCCGCTAACTGCATAAAACTTCACATGTGGCGTTTCAGGTCGTGCATTATTTTGAGCAGCGCTGTGTTGGTTTTGGTCAGTTTTACTATTTGGGCATTTTTGACACCCCCATGTTCATAAATGACAATTCAAAACTGCGACAACATGTTTTGTTGCTCGGCTTGCAGATCCATGCATCGAGCATCAATAGCAGCGTGCGGGATGGCAATGTAAGAACATGTTCGGCAAACATCCTTTAAAGTTCACATCACCAACTGCGCAGTGTCATGTTTGAACTCCGAAGCTGCATCCAAAGTTGCTTGCCTCAAGGTTTGTCAGTTTTGGCAAGTTCAACATGCAAACACTAGTGGCGATGTTTTGCTTTAATTCCAATGTTCTTGGTTGAGTGGATACAAGTACAAATGACGATGTTCAAACCAAGGAAAAGTAGGTTTGAGCATATCCTAGACCAGTGTTTTGGCAGAAGTACCAACTGACCGCATCAGTAAATTTACGTGAATTTACAGAAGTACCAACTCGCTGGAGCTGCTCGCCCTACATGGCATTGCTGTCTGCGATTCCACCTCCATCACCTTGCGCAGCACTGCCCGCGAGCGGCGCGAGGATCGGGGGGTATGTTGAGCCTTTCAAACGCAGTCAAGCGCAGAAGGACTAAGTACATCAAATCAGTGGTTCATCAAGTGTTCCAGATTTGAGAAGTCAAGGTGGAACCTTCATCCTGTGCGCCGCGTGCGCTGTGATTGGCAGACTGGTGGGAGATGTGCGCTCTTTGGCGCCGCATTTGCCTACAGGCTTTGCAGAGCAATATTTGTTGGAAAAAGGGAGATGGAATTCACATGAGTTCAATCCCAACATCTAACCAAGACAGGATTCAACACAACGAGGCAGGTCGGACAGGTTGGCCTTGACAAGCTGCAGTTGTGTGCAAAGCCTTGTCAGGCAATCGCAGCGAAAGCGCAGTGCGCGGTCTGTCGCAGAATGGCCAGCAGGTGGGGCTTCAACACAGGATGCCAATGCAGAGGTTCAACTTAGGAACTATGTTCGCTACTAGTGGCTCCTGGCATCGCTACTATATAGTATATAACAGGAAGCTATTAGTAGCTCCTGGCCTTAGTACTAGGAGCAAGGATGCTACTAGGGGCTCCTGGCATCGTTACTAGTAACAAGAAGCTACAAGGACGCTACTAGGGGCCCCTGGCATACTACAGTAGATGGACCAAATATTCAAACCCATGTATCAATAACTGTCGCCAACCCCTGACCCCCAAAGGTCAATGTTGAACATAACTTGATTGAATTTGCGTTTCCAGGGTTTGATTTGTTTCGTCCATTCGCCGAAACATTCTTGCAAGACCTCTAACATTGAGCTTTGGGGTAGGAGGGGTCCTCGTGGTTGAAAGGGTTTGAATATTTCGTCCATCTACGGTACTGGGTGTGGACGGCGACCGGAGACCTACAGACGCACATGCGTGCGTTGTTTTCAAGTGATGCCGGGCAGTTCCAGCTACTGTTGCCATGTGCCGTGTCTGTTCCCAGTCCCTTTCCAGTGCCTTTCCAGTGCCTTTTGCACTTTCTCGTGGCCCTCCCAGCAAAAATGTGTTTCTGGTAAGTTTTGTTGAAACAAAAAGATAAGCTATCTCTTTTTAGCAAAAAAGTGAGTCACGTGGCAAAATCACTGGCAGGCGCACGCAAACCGTGAAAAGGCACTGGAAAAGGCACTGGAAAGGCACTGGGAACAGACACGGCGCATGGCAACAGTAAGAACAGTAGCTGGAGCTGCTCTTCATCTGGCTTGCTTTCCTGACGTCTGCTGTCCTCGCTCGCAACGTGTCGATGTGAAAGAGTTGTTGAGCGCAGAAGATTAAAACACAGAGTACTACGGATGAAGATGTTAGACTTGATACTTACGAGCCAATAATACGCAAACGTCACACCTTTAGACGGTACTGGGTGTGGACGGCGACCGGAGACCTACAGACGCACATGCGTGTGTTGTTTTCAAGTGATGCCGGGCAGTTCCAGCTACTGTTGCCATGCGCCGTGTCTGTTCCCAGTCCCTTTCCAGTGCCTTTCCAGCGCCTTTTGCACTTTCTCGTGGCCCTGCCAGCAAAAATGTGTTTCTGGTAAGTTTTGTTGAAACAAAAAGATAAGCTATCTCTTTTTAGCAAAAAAGTGAGTCACATGGCAAAATCACTGGCAGGCGCACGCAAACCGTGAAAAGGCACTGGAAAGGCACTGGGAACAGACACGGCGCATGGCAACAGTAAGAACAGTAGCTGGAGCTGCTCTTCATCTGGCTTGGTTTCCTGACGTCTGCTGTCTTCGCTCGCAATGTGTCGATGTGAAAGAGTTGTTGAGCACAGAAGATTAAAACACAGAGTACTACGGATGAAGATGTTAGACTTGATACTTACGAGCCAATAATATGCAAACGTCACACCTTTAGACAGTAGATGGACCAAATATTCAAACCCATGTATCAATAACTGTCGCCAACCCCTGACCCCCAAAGGTCAATGTTGAACATAACTTGATTGAATTTGCGTTTCCAGGGTTTGATTTGTTTCGTCCATTCGCCGAAACATTCTTGCAAGACCTCTAACATTGAGCTTTGGGGTAGGAGGGGTCCTCGTGGTTGAAAGGGTTTGAATATTTCGTCCATCTACGGTAGGAGCAACTGCACATCCTTTGATTTTCTAAACTGAAGCAGTACGACATAGCATCATTCCAGAGTCCATCTCAGCTGGCGAGTGCTCCTTTTTATCTGGGCGTTTTTTGATTGCCCACAAACCAAGAGGTTCACGGTTCCAACTGTTCATCTTTGTGATTCCACAGGTGCCGGTGAGTGCTTGGAAGATTGTGGCATGGTCTCTTTGCAGGGCGTTGATCCAGATCGGCCAAAGGACAACCAGGTTGGGTTGCCACTCACAAACAAATGTGAGATGTCATCTTTCTTTGAAGCACATGGCAGTCCGACAATTCCTTCGATGGTTCTTGAAGCCTTGAAACAACAACAAGGACGCCTGCTACGTCGCTGAGCTTCCAGACGGTCGTTTGCAGGCTGCAGGATCACTAGCAAGAACCAAATCTGATAATATAAGATAAAAGTTCAGAACGTTTCAATGTAGTGTGGGCCCATGTTAGCTTGTCTTGGTACAGGGAATTTTCCTAACTTGCCCTTTTGTGATTTGTATTTATCTTCAACCTTCTTGACTGCACTTGACACATAGGCAGTGGTGCTGGATGGTCACGGCAAGAAGGGCCACGTTGTATCCGGCGCACTCAAGGCTCGCATCCGGCCAATTCGTGGGAGTCAAAGAAACGGTTGCATTTCTGCACGCATACTTTGGGTCATGTGAGTTTCCAAAAACAGAAAGCAAACAAATCCATCAACGTATTCTCGCTGAGGTGTGAAAACTGCCAACACAAGTGATTTGGGCAGACAGCCAGCATTTCTCAGAATCTTCTCTCTGGTTTTCATTGCAATTGGTTTTGCATCCTGACCTTTGTTGGAGGCCTTTCTACCTGACCTCTTGACAGAGCAGCTTGCATCCGGCAAACACGACATCCCCACAGCCATGCGCATGGCCTTCATGGCCAGCGATGCTACGCTGCGGGAGAAGGGAGTGGGCCAATCTGCTTGGGCATCAGGACAGAACTCTGCAGACTTTCTCAGGATTCGGTGCGCCAATTTCAGCTTAGGTTACAGTATATAATGATTTGGAACTCGTTGCCGATCCTCTAAGTGCTTTCAAACGGGGGTCATCCACGCTAGTCTATAGTTACATTGAGACTCACCCAAGAACAACTGGGGAACAGCTCATCCACCAGGATTCATTCACTGCCGGATGAGGAGCAGCTGCCTTGGCGGCCGTTGTTGAAAGAGGCGCCGTTGCCAGCGCTTGCTGCACTGACCCAGTCTTCAATTTTGACAGCCACACTGGGGTAGGTCAAGACTCAACTACCACGAGACATGATAAGTGAACATCCTCATGTAGAACTATTTGTTCGTTGTTGGAACGTGACAGGGGATTGGTTTTTTCTCCACATCCAGATCGTCCAATGGCAGTGCTTGATATTTCAGCAGCACGACACCGGGAGAAAACTTTGCATCTTCAGCTCGCAGAGTAACTAAAACTTATCAAAAGTAGAGCTGGAGAAGATGATGCGACAGGACATTTATTGACACATGTTGATGCAAAACGAGGAAGACCCTCAGCGTTCTTTTTGCATAGGCGCCACATGGCATATCGATGTGGCCTGCGCGGGGGATTGTCACGCCTGGCTGCTGGAGAAGGTAGAAGGAAGGTGAGGAACATCGAGGAACCCTATTATTTTGACAAGCACGACCAGCTCTTTTGGGACAATTCTTGACAAGATGTCACAACTTGGTCACTGGTAATTTGTACAAAGCAGTTTGTGATCGCATAGCCTATTCGCAAGAGTTGAATTGTCGTGTTGCCTGCAAGACCTTCACTCGTAGCAGCTAAATTGCGCTTGATCATTCGCAGGTGGCGTGGCTCTTCAATCTCACAAGCAAGCAGTTGCGAGCGGGAGAGAGACCGCTTGGAGGCCTCGGAAGAACTGACAATGACCCTTACGTACAGGGTTTGGTCACGGGAGATATGGACGCCAGGTTTCAATGATGTTCGGTCCAAACACCCACTGTATGGATCACGCAAGAGCGCCCCGGAGATACACAGATTCATTCTTACTTTGTGATTCCCGCCAGGTCCTGCCTGGACGGGAATCACCCAGATTGTCCCGCTCCTCCAGAAAAGCATGTCTCACGAAAGGTAGCTTCAGCTACCTGAGTTCTCCTTGCTTTAGCAAAAATATATTTCAATCTGGAGTTGGGATTGTGCATTGAGTTTGGCCCCGTAAGGAAGGATTCTTCTTCATAGGGGTCCCCCAGGATCAAATCCCCCCTGCGCCCTGGCGGGTTGGGTGCAAATCTTGAGGTGTGAACTCGAACTGGAACAGTTAGAGCTCAACCCTGGAAGCATATAGAAGCCGCAGCCTCGAATTCGAACTCGAGCTGGAACTGTTAGAACTCAACCCTGGAAGCCTAGAAGGCCTCGAACTTGAACTCGAATTCGAGCTGCAACAGTTAGAACTCAATTACTGAAGCGCACGGGCGTGACCGGCTAATTCGCTGCTATTTACAATACATTCATGCCTCTCGAACTCCTCCAAGTGCATTTCGACTGTGCAGGCTGACAATCTGCCTGCCGGCGGTGGGTGCATCTAGCGACTGCGCTCTCGTTGTGGTGCCGTGCGCATTTTCGCACATGGTGGTCACTTTGCATGGCAGGCGCAGGGGAAACCTCGTGCTCACTCACTCACTCACTCACTCACCTCCACTCCACTCCGCTCCGCTCCACTCCCCTCCACTCCACTCCACTCCACTCCGCTCCACTCCACTCCACTCCACTCCACTCCACTCCACTCCACTCCACTCGAGTGAGTCTGGGTCAAAGTGCGTGAGTGCGAGTGAGAGTGCGTGACTGCCACGAAATCTGCACTTCGAGGTTCACCATGCGCTGTGCCTGCCACGAAATCTGCACTTCAAGGTTCACAAAGTGCTGTGCCTGCCACGAAGTCTGCACTTCCAGGTTCACCAAGCGCTGTGCCTGTCACGAAATCTGCACATCGAGGGTCACCAAGTGCTGCGCCTGCCACGAAATCTGCACTTCGAGGTTCAATAAGTGCTTTGCCTGCCACGAAATGTGCACTTCGAGGTTCACCAAGTGCTGCGCCTGCCACGAAATCTGCTCTTCGAGGTTCAGAAATAAGTGCTGCGCCTGCTACGAAATCTGCACTTCGAGGTTCAATATGTGCTTTGCCTGCCACGAAATGTGCACTTCAAGGTTCACCAAGTGCTGCGCCTGCCACGAAATCTGCACTTCGAGGTTCAGAAATAAGTGCTGCGCCTGTCACGAAATCTGCACTTCGAGGTTCACCAAGCGCTGCGCCTGCCACGAAATCTGCACTTTGAGGTTCAGAAAGCGCTGTACCTGTCACGAAATCTGCACTTCAAGGTTCACCAAGTGCTGTGCCTGCCACGAAACCTGCACTTCGAGGTTCACCAAGTGCCGCGCCTGCCACGAAATCTGCACTTCGAGATTCACCAAGTGCTGTGCCTGCCACGAAATCTGCACTTTGAGGTTCACCAAGCGCCGTACCTGCCACGATATCTGCACATCGAGGTTGACCACGCGCTGTACCTGCCACGAAATCTGCAAACGAGCCACATGTCCAAAAGTCACGATTCACCGCACCTGTCACGAAAGCTGAGCTCCTCGACGTCACCAACATGCCCGAAGCGCTGCACTTGCCACGAAAACTGCATTTCGAAGCAAAACAGCTCCGATCCCTTGCACCTGTCACGAAAAGTCGACTTTGGAGCACCAAACACGAGGTTTCCCTTGCACCTGTCACGAAAAGTGATGATCACCATGAACGAAAATGCGCACGGCGCCACAACGAGAGCGCAGTCGCGACAAGCACACGCTCCAGCCACCCAGATTCTGCGAGCCTGCGCAGTCGAAATGCACATTGACGATGTCGAGAGGCGTGAATGTGCTGTAAATAGCAGCAAACTGGCCGTTCACGCCCGCGCGCTTCAGCGATCTAAGCATCAGCTTCCTTTCCCTTACCGTAAGAACCCCTCAGCGTGCCCACACTGTTTGGTGAAAAATGCAAAAACGCAAGCAATATTCACGTAAATTGCCACTTGATACGCAGTGATATGGGTGGGATGGGAAGCTGGCCCCCTTGTCTTTGGAGCAGCCTCTCGTGGTTGTCGGGTAGCCTGACCACGTTTCGTTGGTTGTCCAAAAAATTGCCGGTGGGTTTTGCTGGTTCGCAGTTCGAGGCTGAAATATTGCATTTTTTGACAATACGGAGAAATTCCGACCTTTTTTCTTTTATATGTTCAAAAAACACAAACAATAAAAATAGAAAACGAAAACAAATTCAATTGTTTCAATACAAAAAAGTGCGACATTTTTTGTTTTTCAAAAAAAAATACCAAAAAATAGTACAAATACAAAAAACAAAAAAATATACAAAAGATATGGCCCGCCAAAAAATACCCAAAAAAATTGCCGAAACAGGTTGCGAAACCAAATGTTTTGCAATTTTTCGTTTTGCTGACGTGCCGACGAGGGAGTTTGCTGATTTTGTGGCCTGACTGCCTTTGTTTCTATTTTGCCACAATGCAAAAAGACAGCAAATTCACGCAAATGCTTTTGACAACACAAAAAACAACATGACTCAAAATTCAATTGGCTTGGTGGGTGCTATTTGCATTGTGGCCCTCATTTGAGTATGATATTTGGGAACCAGGGCCAGTTAGGACGTAGAACCATGCAAAAAGTTGCGTTTCAGGGCTGTATTTTTTACATTCTTTTTGTATGTTTAATGTTTTTGGGTTTCCTGGCCTCTACCTGGAAGGAGGGGATTCAACTTTAGGTTTTTTGGAGTTCGGCTGGCGGGTTCAGGGCTTCTCTGGTTTGGCTTACGGTTTCACTTCTTTAGTCTTCAGGGTTTCTTTGGCTTTGGCTTGCGAACTTCACTACATTCATGACTTCTTTAAGGTTTCTTTGGGTTTGGCTTGCGGGGTTTACTTCATTAGGGTCTCTGTTGCTGAGAGTTTCACTTCTATAGGGTTTGCTTGGGTATGGCTGGTTCGCTTCTTTCATGGCCGTCTCTTCTTTCGGGTTGGTGGGGTGGGCTGCGGGGTGTTCGACTTCTTTCGGGTTCTTTAGGCTTGGCTGAGGGCTTGACCTCTTTGAGGTTTCTTTAGCCTTGTCTTGCTTTCTTGCTTGGGCTTGGGCTTCACTTCTCTAGGGTTTCTGTGGGCTTGTCTTGCTGGGGCTGAGGGCTTTAAATATTGGGGATTTGTTTGCCTGCAGCCTCCGATTCAACTCGAACTGGATCAGTTAGAACCCCTTGGGGCACTGCCTATCGCATGTTCGCAAGGGGTCACACCACGCGTAATGCCTACTCTCTGCTTAGCCGCCGTAGAAACCACAAAGCAATTATTTTTGTTTTTTACGATAGTGGACCTGTCCTGAATCATTCACGCACGATCTGCCAGTTTCTATGTTTGTTGTCTTTGCCGAGTTTCCATGTTAGTGAGCCCTGGACTTGTTTTTGTCACTGGTAGAAACTGAGAGCTACATTTTAGATCATCTGTTAGTGAGCTCTGGACTTGTTTCTGTCACTGGACACTGGTGGAAGCTCCTTTTCTTTAATGGTCACTCCCATTCTTGTTTCTGCCAGTTCACTCCCATTCTTTAATGGTCGGCCCACCTTGCCATTGGACAGGTCTAGATTCAATACAGTGACTATCATGGTTACCGATGGCTGTTAGGGGCTGGGCACACTACGCAGGAGCCCCCAAACCTACGGAGCAAATGCAAACATGTTCCAGAGGCTAAGTGAGCACTCACCGCATCATTTCATGTTGGTTTTGGGGTCTCCGTAGATAGTGGCCTGTATCACCAAGAAACCACAAGCCCCAGAGGCGGAAAATGAGCTAACATGTCAATTCTCAGGATGTGAATATTTTTTAAAGAACAACAGCTTCAAAGCGCTACCCTAGAAACCAGTGTAATTACCAATTCTTCAAGCTGCCTCAGGTTGAGCTAACATGGCAATTCTTAGGATGAGCTGTTTAACTGTTTTTTTGAGAACAACAGCTTCAAAACGCTACCCTGGAAACCAGTGTAGTTACCAATTCTTCAAGCTGCCTCAGGTTGAGCCAACATAGCAATTCTCAGGATGAGGTTTTAGATGTTCTTTTTTAAGAACAACAGCTTCACAGCGCCACCTTAGCAACCAGTGTGATTACCAATTCTTCAAGCTGCCTCAGGTTGAGCTAACATGGCAATTCTTAAGAGTAATTGTTTGAATGTTCTTTTAAAGAACAACAGCTTCAAAACGCGACCCTGGAAACCAGTGTAATTACCAATTCTTCGGGCTGCCTCAGGTTGAGCTACATGGGAATTCTCAGGATGAATGTTTGAAATGTCTTTTTCAAGAACAACAGCTTCAAAACGCTACCCTAGAAAGCAGTCTAATTACCAATTTTTCAAGCTGCCTCAGGTTGAGCTAACATGGCAATTTTCAGGATGAACTTGTTAAATGTTCTTTTAAAGAACCACAGCTTCAAAACGTTATTCTAGAAACCAGTGTAATGACCAATTCTTCAAGCTGCCTCAGGTTGAGCTAACATGGCGATGCTCAGTATGAATTTTTTGATGTTCTTTGTAAAGAACCACAGCTTCAACACACTAATCTAGAAACCAGTGTAATGACCAATTCCTGAAGCTGCCTCCGGTTGGCGCTAACATGGCAATTCTCAGGATGAGCATTTCTCAAACATTATAGGACCGGATAACCCCACGTGTGAACAACTTCGAAAGATTGAGGCTGCAGGGGTAAAGCGCGGAAGAGTGAGCATGGGGAAGAGACAGGCGAAACAGATATAAGGCGTGAGGGTCTCTGTGTGTACGTGAGGTGTGTGTGTGTGTGTGTTTGTGTGTATGCGCTTGTTCGTCAGTGTGTATCAGTGGGTAGGTGGATGTATGCTGCTTGGGGCTTATACTAAAGTAGTACTAGAAAGTTGCCAGTTCTCATCTTCCAGCTCCCCAGATACTCCGCGTACTAAAGTTGTACTACAAAGTCGCCAGTTCTCAGCTTCCAGCTCCACAGATTGCTCCGCGTACTAAAGTTGTACTACAAAGTCGCCAGTTCTCATCTTCCAGCTTCGCAGATACTCCGCGTACTAAAGTTGTACTACAAAGTCGCCAGTTCTCATCTTCAAGCTCCGCAGATACTCCGCGTACTAAAGTTGTACTACAAAGTCGCCAGTTCTCATCCTCCAGCTCCGCAGGTAGTCCGCGTACTAAAGTTGTACTACAAAGTCGCCAGTTCACAAAGCGCTGCGCCTGCACATAGAGGTTCACACAGTGCTGCGCCTGCCCCGAAATCTGCACATGGAGGCTCACACAGTGCTGTGCCTGCCACGAAATCTGCACACGGAGGTTCACAAAGTACTGCGCCTGCCACGAGATCTGCACATGAAGGTTCACAAAGTGCTGCGCCTGCCACGAAATCTGCACATCCAGC